GTATATGCCGCCTTTAAGGCCGAGATAGGAAACATAATAACCAGCACCAGATGGGAACAATCAAGTTGATCTACCTTGTAGGGGCTGCTTGCATCGGAGGGACCAAGCACCGCCTGAGAATAGAATGCCAGTGGGTAGTGACGTATATTGAAAAACATTATTAGAACACGCTGGTGGGCAGTGAGTTTATCTTTTTTTACACTCAGAAAATGGAACCCTCCACCCGTATGGGAAAAACACAATTCAACTTATATAAACTACTTACAAATATATACATTCACAACAAAACACAAGTAATTGAGGGACAGTAGCCTGGCTCTGCTTTCTCTGAAATAGGACTTGAAGTAAGCCCGACAGATGTCTTCCAGCACACAAGCCGATATGGAGTTCAATCCTGACGAGATAGTGCTGCAAAATTGTCAAATCCGCCTTAAGTGTTTAATTAGTTCAATTTATAGATGAAAGCAGTTACATTAGGAAGAAGAACTTTGTTTTGTTAGAGAAAAATGAAAGGCCGAGCTTATTAGTCTCTCTCTCTCTCTCTCTCTTGCTCTATCGCTCTCTCCTTTTCCCGTTCTTTCCACTCTTCACATACACACACGTGCACACACACACATACACAAACAGCTAAAGCAGAAGAGTAAACCAACTTATGAGTGCTGTTATCAGTCACCATATGCTGAGGGTGATACTGAAGATGGGATCGCAGCGTTTATGGACTTGTCAGATGTGCGATGAGGAGGATTGATAAAAATTAAAAAAAAAAAAAAGAATGTGCTGGTGGTCCTAATAAATGGAATTCTAGACAATAAGACAGAAAGAAATTTAAATAATGCACTCTCATTTACATTGTTCCCCCCCCCCCTTTTTTTCCTTTTTTTAAGTATCCCCAGCGTAAGTTAATATATCCACAAGTGTTTAACTGTTAAGTTGTTAGTTGCGTATTCTTTACAGGACGTTGCATAACCAACCCTGCTTTTTTGTGTGTGTGTGTGGTTGTTGTGGTTTTTCTAAGCAGATTTACTCACAGTAGTTTGCCATTGCCCACTCGACGGTCGGTTTCTCGATACCACGGTCGAAACCAACGCAAGGCACAAGGCCCGCAGCAGGGATCGAACCCGGCACCCCAGCTTTACGACGCTCGTTGGCAGCGTCTAAACCAAAGACGCCGGCAATTGTTAAGTTTAAGCACCAGACATAATTTAGCCGATTATCTCCCTAAATATTAAAAATTTGTGTAAAACTAGTTAACATTTATACTTTGACAGAAGATGTAAAGTAACAACGGGAGCTGTGTGTGAGTTATGTAACGACTGAATGTGGCAGAAAGAGTTCAGACAAATATGTAAGGTAAGTAAAACTCAAAATCCCACAGGGCGAAATGGTTGGTACTGCAAGAGTGAAAGTGTGTTCATAATTACCTGAGCGCACCACTGAACAAGCCGGCAACAAACAGGCCAGGTAAGCCAACGACGTGGCCTAAAATATCCATAACAAACATTGGTAGGATCTGCAGAAACAAACAGTATTGTTGTTAGCAACCATTCCAGTGTGGGTTCCGGGGCCCTATTGTGGGTGCGAGGGGGGGGGGGGTAGGTAGAATATATCCCCGCCCCTAAACAAGCATGTTGTGAGAATTAAGCTAATTAGGCTGTTTATTTCAAAGTCAGTTCCCATCCGCTAAAAAACCAAATGTAGATTCCGGGAGGGAGGGGTGGGGGGGGGGGGGCAGTGTTTTCCTCGTCCCTAACAAAATCTGATTGAGTCTGCCTGAGAGGCGAGGAGCCAAGAGTCTCCAAAAAATGTAAGTCAGATCTGTAAAACTTATGTATACTCGAACGAGGCTAAAGTCCAGAATTGGCCGAACAACCAGAACTTTTTACTGGAATTTACAGCCGGTGAATTCTAAGAAAAAGAAAAAGTGAGCAGTCAGATACATCCATATGGCTGTAAAGTTTGGAGCATCTCAGGCTGTTTCCTGAAATTACAGGTCTCAGTGACATACCTATATGGCAAATCCCAGCTACCATATGCAACCTCCAAAGAGGTTTACACCTGGGACAGCAGTGACTGGGTTGTGTACACTGTAGTCCCGTGTGCATTAATAAAGTCCAGCAGAAAGATACAGAAAACCTAGGTTGCTGTTCATCATTATATCCGCTCCAATGTGGGAGGCAATATTTTTGTAATTGCAAAGCTCCACCTGGCTGTCGTCGGGGAACTTAAATATAGCCAAATGGTTCAACGGGGTTTCTGGGACTGGTGCCAAGGGGGATTCTCACCCGAATGGTGGCACTATTTGTTACCGGGTATTAATAGCTTGTTGTGCGGCCCTGGTGAGGTTGAACGTCACTCTCTCGAAAGTAGGTTGTAAAAATATAAAGTAGTAATAGGCACAGGACAGGCATAATTTCATTCATTCTTATCTGGACAGCACTGCAGTTACACCACAGTAGTATTTTGTTAATACTGGTACGGTTGCCCTACGCCCGCCTGCGAATCCATTGATCGTGGGTTCAAATGATAATGGAGCGTACTTTTCTAAATAATGACTTTGTCCCTAAAGTCGAACCAGCTTTAAATGGACAGGAAAGTAAAGGCCGCTGACATAATTTTAAATAAGTCACCCACCAATTGTTGATTTGTCTATTATCTATTAGGATACAGTGTGCCCAGTACGTATGAAGGCATCGGGTAGGGTACTTTTACTTGTACGTTTGTACTAATTACAGTACTAAGTGAGGGCCCTGGTGACACACGGGCGACACACTAATTACTGATTAAAAAATCAACATAACACACCGGGTATACCCACAGTTGCTGTGTCTCCCGCAGCAAATGTCTTAAGGTGCAGATGCTGACCGCTCCTGTAGCATTCTGATTAAACACACATTGTTCTCTTCCTCTCATACTTCCCTCCTTGCTAGATCCACTAATAATTCCATGTTCACACACTCCTACATAGGCTATTTCATGTAACCTTGTGTCTTCTATCAGCTGTCTTCATAAATGGTCTTCGGATTATCTTCGTTGTCTGGTACAAGTGTTCCTGTAGCTATTCCTTTTATAGAAACAAAATTATGGTTTTTCATTCCCTCACACTTCTGCATCTTCTGGACAGTTTATCAACATGAGTCCCTGTAATGTTGACCTGATATTACACACACACGGACACACAAATATACACGAAACAGAGGACAAAATATCTAACCTCCCCAAATTTCACAACACAGATTTACACATCAAAATACTCTTGCCAAAAAAAAAAGTCCTGATTCAACTTTGCACTCACCATTCAGGTAACAACTCTCATTCGACTTTCATAGCACTAGGGAATTTGTGGAGGTCAAAAGAAATTAAAAGAAATACTAAACTAAAAATTTTTAATTCTAATGTCAAATCAGTATCATTGTATGGGGCGGAAACATGGAGAACAACTAAGACAATTACTAATAAATTACAGACATTCATTACCTGGTGCCTGCGCAGAATAGAGGGAATTAAATGGTATGATAGAATAACCAATGTAAAACTTTCAGAGAGAACTAAACAGGCTCCAGTGGACCAAAAGATGAGGAAAAGACGCTGGCATTGGATAGGACACACACTGAGAAAACAGGAGAACAGCATAACTAGAATGTCTTTGCATTGGAATCCACAGGGGCATAGGAATAAAGGAAGGCCAAAAAACACAAGGAGAAGAGAGCTGGAGAATGAAGTTAGAAAGATGGGGAGGACATGGGGAGAACTCCATGCAATAGCGATGGATAGAACGACATGGCGTGAGTTGGTTGAAGGCCTACGCCTAAATTGTACAGCCGAGGTTCTTACTTCGTTTCGGACGGGTTGCCCTATACTTTGCTTCTTTCCTGCTACAGTGGAAATCACACAAATGGTGCTCCGCTCTCCCATTTGAAAACCACACACGCACGCACGCACACACACACAACACACAAAAACACACACACAAAACATCACCATTTCAGTGACAGTGTTGGTATGGCTGGTATTATTCTCCTCCTTTAGACTCTTTACTAGATGCCATAGCTTTTTTTTTTATCTTTCTCCATGTTGAGAGCTGCAGTTTTTGTCTGCCATCTTGTCCGGATACATGTGAGTTTTCCTCTTCTATAAATAGCCTGATGTTTATTGTGTTCTCTAACGTTGAGGTCTAAGAGATCTTGTTCCATTTGTACTCTTGCTTCAGTGCTTCTTTGGTGGAGTTGTTGCAGTTATGGGGTCTAGAAGGAGTCATAGTTTTACCTTCGACCTGGAGGGATTGATTTTTGTGCTGCTTGGAGTATGATACTGGTTGGAGTTGCGATGTTTTTTTCTAACCACGTTAGCTGGAATTGCCTCTAATAGCTTCTTTTCAGTCAAGCTTTTGTTCCAGTCTGCTTGCTTGTAGTTCCAGCTGGCTATCTTCTTTCTGTTTTCTGGTAGCTTGACCTCTCTTATCATGACGACGACTGGTTTGTGATCACTTCCACTCAGCCGTTTCATCACTTCTCTTCTGCGTTTCGTTAGATGTTTACTGTAGCTATAGCTAGGTCTGGTGTACTTTTTGTTCGCCATCGTCTAGAGTAGATGGTTGGTTCAGAGTCAGATTCATTTATTAGTATCAGCAGGTTTTCTACCATCCATTGCTCTACCTCTTCTCCTCTTGTGTCCATAGAAGCATAGCCCAACTAGGGGAACGACTGTTAATATCACCGAAACTTAGGTCGCTCTTATTAGCTATTGGGATGTCCTCTAGTTCCAATTTCTTGTTGTTGGGACAGTAAAAGTTAGTAACGTATAGAGGCTCAGGAAGAATATGCAGTTTTACAGTCAGATGTTCAGACTCCCTTATGCTTCTGGAAGTTTCTGTGGCTGCAATAGTATTCTTAACCTATTTGATGATGTCACCTTTGTGTCCATCTCTGTCTAGCCTATATGTTTCATAGCCTCTTATAGAAAAGCGACAGCCTGTATTAGAATGGGTTTCCTGAATGCAGGCAACATCAATCTATTATTCAAAGATGAATTTTTGGAGTTCGAGCTTTTTCATTAAAACCCCTTCTGCATTCCACTGCATTATCTTTAGTGTTTTTAGTGTTACGACATGTAGCACCACATGTGGTACACTTGACTTGATTGACAGAAGCTATTAGTTACGCTTAGGCATTTCCCATTTTTTAGGTTGAACATACATATCAATCCTTGCTACCCGTTTCATGTCTAAAAAAGCATACACCAGCATGTATTTTGAAACGATTCTTAAGTTGGCATAGAGTTTCAAGTTTGACATAATGATAAATACCTCATTAGAATTGGACACAAATTTCGTCGTTATTGGATCACACTTCTCATAAAATGATGCCATGAATATACCGATGAAGCAGCTCAGGTACAAAATAATGCACAGCCCTGGAAAGTTGAGCCACATCGCACTGGGGAATAATATATGAGTACAATCGTTAGCTAGTCATTAAAAAAAAAGTAAAGATCCCTTTTAACTCCTTTAGGCGCATCAGGCATATGGAAAGAGCGCCCATATTTTTACAGACATTCAGCACTCTGTGGGTAATGTGTTCAGCATTACGCCGGCTGTCTTTACTTTCCCAGGACAGCACATCCTGGTGCCCATTTTAGGCTGGTCGACATGCGACGCCCCATACCATGATACAAATCCACGCAGCCAGCGGTGGGTTTCGATCGCGGTACGTTGGTATTACGAGTCGGACTCTCAACGCCTTAGCTAGCTGGTCATTAGACAATGTTAAATTAGGAGTATTTCAAGCGAAGGCAGCCGTTTTACAAAATGAAGAATATTCTGTTCAATCTTTCTTTGCCGGCTGAGATGAGAATTCTCAAATGCTAAATAAATCCTATCATGATCATCAGAAGTGAATCATTGACAGTTAGTAGATTAGTGAACAACTTTTTGGAATCTGTGAAGAAGAGGTTTTATAGACGAATGATAAGAACTGCACATACAGACTTTAAAAAAAAAAAAAAGAGTAAGGAAGACGTTTTGAAAAAAAGTAACCCACAAAGATAACTGATTGCCGAGGTCAGAAAGAGAGTTGTTGGGTCATGTGATAAGAAGGAGAAAACTGTAGTATATCATGACAGTAAGAAATGTAGAGGGAAAACGAGGCAGAGAGAAAGCGAGAGAGAAGATGTTGGACAGTCTGATTTCATGGCGTGGAAGTTTATCTGTGTCAGAGTTGATTGAAAGTACACGAGACAGCAAGTTGTGTTTACCGACTACCAGCGCCACACGGCATTGACTTCAAGAAGACGACACTGTTAAATTATTTATTTTGCTCGATCATTTCTATGTATTCAGGTGATTTACTGCACATAGTGTATCCCATACAGCTTAGTCTTTTTTCACAGCGAAGCACATAGTACGAACTACGTAGCACTGACAACGATCGTAAAACTGAGATCGTAAAACTGCGCCGGGAAATTGAGCGACGCCTCCGTAAAACGAACTCACGACTTTCAGAAGGGGAGGCAAACGGCTTGATCCCCGAATTATATAAAATCTGTAGTAATGCACTTGAGCATATAAAGATACCACTGTATCATGAATCAAGTTATCTGTTTATAGTTAAAATCTTCACTTACGATCTCACTTATAATCTTTTTTAAGGTTGAACGCGTTAATCTATATAGCAAATAATTAAATTAATTTTTTTTTATGTAAAAAAAAAAAGTGAGTAGATTATGCCCTATATTAACTTGCTTTAATATACTGTTAAGATTACATACAAATGTTGATAACAACGGTCCTGAAATCCCATGACATAAAGACTGACTTTCTACCCCACCAGGACATCACACAAGCGATAAACACCCGATGACACAAAGTGCCACCATGCGGATGAGGATCACCGTGGAGAAGTCCCAGAAACCGCGTTCAGACAACTGGCCATATTGATGGCCTGCCTATATTGCAGCCCCTGGCAAAAGCCAGGGTGGGGCTTCAAAAAAGAAAAAATTACGTCCTGAAAAGGACGTAAGTAAGTAATGACATAATTGTGGAAGACCTGTCTTAACGCGAGCAGGTCTTGCAAGTCACACTTGCTTTCGTCATGCGCTGTGAGTCCCATGCCTCCTTGTAACGCAATATAACACTACCGTCTGGAAAGACGGAAAAAAAGCAATCATATTTTTGTATATGAATTATTCATGTGATATCCTATAGCACAGGGATTCAGGCACCCAACTGGTCTATACAAATGTAGGTATAACAGCGTATGCTCCATGCGCCACTTGTGTCTAATTACTGACTGTGGGCCGTAAATTGCAATAATCATAACCATCTTTTGAGATTGAAACCGAGTTACCTATGATGTTATGTTATCACAATCAACCCCTTTGAACTTTTTGCATTTCCCTGCGTGCTCAGTCCTCAGATGCAGTAGCCACTCCAATGTACCTCTGCTGGCTGTTCCCATGAGAAGGTTATAATATCTCCTGACTTTACCTCGAAGACGGCATAGACGGGAGTCATCAAGCTCAACTCCTTAGTCACGCAATCGTATTAGCGTCAGAAATTCAACATTACCCATCAACAGCGTTGATGATAACAGCTTTGGCCAAGCTTCTTCCCGTTTGCATGGGTTCATTACTTGCCAGCTGGTCAGCTCCGGGGAGGGTTTTAGCTGGATTTACATTCGATTTGACATGATGTCAAAACACTTCCCTTAACAGCTTGGAAACGACTTTGGTTGGGGAAACGAGAAGATAGTTTCATAGACGTCAACTTTCGCCCTAGCAAAATGGGGTCACTGGGAGAGTAAGCTGGTGACAGGAAACTGGGTTATCTTGTTTATTCTTTTTTTTTTTTTTCAAAGAAATAATTTTTACACAAGAAATACATATTTAAAACAAAGTGTTACATTTGGAATACATAATGTTCACTGAATTCTCAAAGTATACTTTTGTTATTTATTTGTCGTGTAAAAATATATTTAAGACATTTACGTAATTTGTATTATTTGAAATAGTGTCCTGTTGACACTATCTGGTCTGTAATTACGAAACAAACTGTACAAAGTACATTCCAGCAAGAATGGCTCTACATTACTGTACTTCTGGCATAATTCATAGACACTTCCTGTACGGTAAAAAGGCCATCCAAGGGATACCTTGCATGCGATTTTAAGTTCGTCTGTTGTCTGATTTTGTCGTTTAGGAGCATTAAACGGCTTCTATGAATGTTAATAATACAGCAAAGAAAATAAATTTTAAAATAATAAGCAACAATAGGACAATAACAAATCAATAACGTACGAAGTAAGACCATAAGTTCATACTTACATTTGGGCTTTCTTTAACGTTGGACACGTGACTGCTCTTTGCACCATGGCTTGATTCGTCCCAAAAATGGCCACCCAGGTGAAATATGCACCAATTGTGAGTGACCACACACTGTGTCTTACTGAGGGGTCAACACTGAAACTGGAGACAGTGTTAGAAAAAAAAATATGATTTGTATCGAAATAGAACACATACAAAAATATGTAATTAATTTATAGGTAGGTAAGAGCAACCCTGGTGTCGCGGTTAGACGTTTGCCTGCGGATAGAAAGGTCGTGGGTTCGGGTTCTTTTTCTTTTTTCAGAAATGACCTTGGTTCCTAGGTCAAGCCAGAATTGAGTGGGTACTGGGTACATGTCTTGGGAAGTAAAGGCGACCGGAGTGATGCTGACTACATCACCCACAAAATGCCGATTGGTCGATAAAATATAGGTTTAGCCGTATGTGGCCAGTTACGTCTTAATGCGTAAAGAAGGGTCATTTACTATACATATAACACCTCGAGGAAATATATATATATATATATATATATATATATATATATATATATATATATAGAGAGAGAGAGAGAGAGAGAGAGAATATTGACATTGACATATATATATATATATATATATATATATATATATATATATATATATATATATATATATATATATATATATATATAGTCAATATTCTCGGGGGAAAATGTGTATTGCGAGAATGATCCAAAATTATCAACACTCTATTTGTATTATTCACTGTAATCAACTTTTGTTTTTCTTTCATTGGGGACAAATCTTCGTCCCGGAAAAAAATGGCGATTAAACAGGCGGACGCCCGACATAGTAAAATAAGGACTATATGGTGGCTCCTTTATAACATCAGAACGATTACTATATTATGGACAGACCAGAGCAAGTTATTATTCTGCGCCTTAGAAAAGGACACAATCGACTTCGCAGTTTAAAGTCAGGGAATCTGCCACGTGCACATGTAGACTGGCACGTCAGATCACATACTCCAAGACTGTCGCAAATACAAAACATAAAGACAAAACTTTTGGCCAAGAGAAACATCGGTGCAAGTCAAACATTTACGATTACTGAGTGAATTACAAAAGCCAGTGAAACTCATACTAGAGACAACATTGCAGATATAGATAATCTATTTCAAGCAAACGAAGAAGAAGATGAAAAAGAAGAAGAAGAAGAAGAAGAAGAAGAAGAAGAAGAAGAAGAAGAAGAAGAACAAGAACAAGAAGAACAAGAAGAAGAACAAGAAGAAGAACAAGAAGAACAAGAAGAACAAGGAGGAGGAGGAGGAGAAGAAGAAGAAGAGGATTAAAGCGAAGTTTTTGCAGAGCTTCATCTTAATTGGCAGAGGTGTGAGACTTGTCATGTAAGATCACAACCCAGTTGGATAGTTGTTGTTTAGTTTGACATCAGTTTTTCAGTGAGCATTTGTTGATTGCATCGACGCCAGGGTGGCTTATTAGTCCACCAGTATGCGGTTCGAAAGCCGGTCGGAAGGTGGTTTGGTCTGATCATGGCATCGACACTGCAATACTAAGATCGTTCCAATGTAGGACGCAATTCTATGTTATTTTGAAGCCCCACACCTCCCCGGTTTTTATCGGAGGCTGCAATTTAGCCTGACGGCTGAACGCGATTTCTGGGACCTCTCCATGAGTAATCCTCATCCGCATGGGGGCAATTTGTCTCAACGGGTGTTTATCGCTCAGTGTGATGTCCTGGTGGGGTAAAATTTACTAACTTACAACACTGCAATAGTTTTTTTCATGGCTCCTTGGTGACGAGCAGTTTCCAGCCCTTGAATATGGCGCAGATGTACTACTGTATAGCTCCTCCTCGGGACAATTTGTCGTCGACTGTTTTTCCAACATCATTGAACAATCATCTCCAGATAGGTGTATCAGAAACGGGACATCTTGCTTGTGATCGAACAGTTTTCCGGAGGGTTGTTATGCAAGCAAGCTTCTGCAAAGGACATGTTACTGACTGACTGATCATTAAACTGAATCGACTGACTGCAAATCTCTTTTCTGAAAAACTGTCTGTATCAGTTGCATTAATTCTACAGTTTATAATAATCGGTACAACCAGCTGGAGTTTTAATATGTTCAGAGTGCGGATAATATTTGAACCACCCTCGTATTTCTTTATTGGTGATTTTAAAATGTCGCATCGCAAACGAGAATGAGTTAGTTAGTTAGCTAGTTAGTTAGTTAGTTAGTTAGTTAGTTAGTTAGCTAGTTAGTTAGTTAGTTAGTTAGTTAGTTAGTTGGTTAGTTAGTTAGTTAGTTAGTTAGTTAGTTAGTTAGTTAGTTAGTTAGTTAGTTAGTTAGTTGGTTGGTTAGTTAGTTAGTTAGTTAGTTAGTTAGTTTGTTAGTTAGTTAGTTAGTTAGTTGGTTGGTTGGTTGGTTGGTTAGTTAGTTAGTTAGTTAGTTAGTTAGTTAGTTAGTTAGTTAGTTAGCTAGTTAGTTAGTTAGTTAGCTAGTTAGTTAGTTAGTTAGTTAGTTAGTTAGTTAGTTAGTTAGTTAGTTAGTTAGTTAGTTAGTTAGTTAGTTAGTTAGTTAGTTAGTTAGTTAGTTAGTTAGTTAGTTAGTTAGTTAGTTAGTTAGTTAGTTAGTTAGTTAGCTAGTTAGTTAGTTAGTTAGTTAGTTAGTTAGCTAGTTAGTTAGTTAGTTGGTAAAATAGTTAGTTAGTTAGTTAGTTAGTTAGTTAGTTAGTTAGTTAGTTAGTTAGTTAGTTAGTTAGTTAGTTAGTTAGTTAGTTAGTTAGTTAGTTGGTTAGTTAGTTGGGTTATCATCATTGCACTCCGGATATGTCCATAGGTGCTCAGATTCTCCCCTCTGTATGAACCCCAACGTCCGATGGCTAATAGTACCAGTTCTATGTTGATTAACAAGTCTTCTGGCGTGTCTGGTGTGCGTCTCGTTTTTTTTTTTTTTTTTGTTCTGCCGATCTTAATTCCCAAGTCTGCCATTCTGGCGAGGGATGTGGATTCACTGCCCCCAAAGTTCTCTATCCTTCCCATTTCTCTGAGGGCTTCCGGTGTAAACAGCGGAACGCTTTTACGTCTGTTGAGGTGAATGGCGCAAATTTGCTAATTTCGATCACTTATAATGTGAAAGCTTCATCGGAATGGGATCTGAACCGTGCAATGGAGTACATGCACGTGAGTTCAGACTTCCCTCAGGGTGTATTCGACGTCCGATGACGAGATTGAGTATTATGAATAAACAAATGTTAGAATTATTAAGGGTGACGTTATTGGAAACGAATGGGAGTGGTGAGGATTAGACAATTAAAGTACTTTACACAGGCTCTCTCTTACACAAACACACACATACACACGAGTGCATGCATAGATGAGATGAAACTAGACAAAAAAGAGCGAGGGAGAAAAGGAGATCATTATATTATGGGATGTGCTAGATGGGAAAAAAGGGATACAATGTTGAATTTTGATGGGCAAAATAGATAGGTCGATGTCTGTGGCTAAGGTACTGCAAATGCGCTTCGCAATTCTGAGTTACCCGGTTCAATTCCAGCTGCAGGTGATTTGGTAGCACACTGCTTAGCTTTGATTTGGACAATGTTATCGAGAATGACTATTCAGAGGCAATGGCAAACTACTGAACATAAAATTACCTAGTGAAACGAAGAGCTCAAAAATGCTGGGAGTTGTTTCTGCATCGTCCTATAAAGGATACCCAGTTTTTTTTTTGGGTGGTGGGGGGGGGGGGGGGTGAAGGAAATGGAAAAGATGCACCCCAAAAAAAAAAAAACGCTTACTAAAATGTTGCCTTCCTTTTAAAACAAAAAGCAGCATTAAAATATCACAGTGACTGTACAACTTACTCAGTGAACCAAATTCTGTTAGTTCTACCAGCAGATTCCCAGGCGTAGCCCCATCCTCCGACAATAACCGCTGCTTGAATCAGGATAGCCAGGAGGCTGATGACCATCATTATAACCTGAAAGCTATCAGTCCACAACACGGCCTTCATACCACCCTGGTCATGGGAAATTACACTGATTAATGAACACATGGAGCGAGTTTTTATAGGGGATTGGTAGTCAGTCGATTAGTGAGACAGAAGGTGACAGATGCAGAGATATGGCTGTAAAGAAGAATAATTAGAACAGTATGAGTATAGTAAGTTGTGAAGGGTTTTATATACGCCATTAGCGAATGGGAACTGAACATATTTGTATCGACCAATTGTCCCTACATGGGTAATACAGTTAACATCACGTCGACCGTCTTTACTTCTCAGGATATTACCTGGTACCTATTTTAGGCTGGGTCGACATGGGAACCATAGTCAAGATTTGATCTTTAGATTTCAGGCGAGTACCAAAGCACTAAGTTACACAAAAGGCATATAGAAGGCGTGATAAAAATTTATTGGTAGCATGAAACTCTCGAAGATAACTTGTTACCTGCACTTTAGGAAGGGAATCCACATTCAGTGGGCACGTCAACTATAGTCCCCCCCCCCCCCATCTCCTCCCCCCAAATACAGTTGTTCTTCCATGATGCCAAGAAAAAAGGTTTACCAAGAAAGACCTGGATACAGAATTTGACGTTCTGAACATGTCCAAAATATGTAAACACCAGATCCACTAATGTGACCAACACTGAGTGTTACGTGTCGGCCAGTTCCCATGGTCACTCCTCATAGCTTTCTTTTCCTCACTTTGCTCTGTGCGTTGGTTACAATCACAACATGTGTGTACAGCTGGTTCTCTAGCCAGCAGAAGGCTACAATGACTTGTTCCGTCTCCATTCTCAAACTAGATGCTGGGGTATCATATGCCGGGCTTTGCTGCACTAAGCAATGTACACTCGCTTTTGTTAAGAAGCCTTGTGCACTTCGCCTGCCTCTCACCACAGAGCCAGATGTGTAGATAATAAGATAACCTGGGCGAGAATTGTTATGAATCATTTGTTGAACTGATTCTGTAGCACTCGCTGGGCAGTCCCTGACTCACGGCTGTGTGCGATAAGAACCCTACTCAAGTCAGTCTGTTGCTCGGACATGTTGATCCTTGTCCAATATTATCAAGCCTGCACACATGTCTAAGTATGTCTTCAGCTTGCGACATCCATGACTCAACAGCCAACAGCAAAAATCTCCGGCACCTATCAAAAGCATTTTGCAGAGTGATAAGCCTGGAACCGCTGTATCTCAAATGATCTTTTGTAAGAAGGCTTTATAATGTTGAATATTACCTGGTCTATCTCACCTGCTTTTTTAGATGTCTAACTCCCACTCTCTCTCTCATTTTTTCACCTTCGGACCGCTAATTAAAGCTTTGACCACCCCGAGATTATACAGTCTCAAGCTGGATAGCAAGCCAATAGAACAAATTCCAGACTATTCAACAATGCAAAAAATAAATAAATAATTTACTAAACAAAACTTTAGGAAGTTAGCAGATCTTTTCAGTAAACACAATGTGTCAATTAAACTGGTCTCCGATCATTTTAATAATTATAACCACAAATGCGCAATCGACACCTCTGTTACTGACATAAAATCTTACTACGTGGATCACATCAGCCGTCCTTTCCTAAAAAATTGCTAAAGGGCCGCTTACCCGCTTTCAAATTTCTTTTTAAAGACTTTCTCTCGGCGGCTCGTTTCTTGAAAGGCTTTGTTGGCTTAAGGGGCCTGAGCCCCTAAAATTTGGCATCCGGGACTACGGAAACACTTGCTCACAAATTCTGTCTGCACGTTTAAACAAATCTATACAGTAAATAGAATACTCACAAATGCAGTATACAAAGTACACACAGCACCAACAGAAACAACGGAGCCCCAGAGTGTAAAACCTGTCACTGTAAATGAAAAAAAAAAAAAAAACATGCCTTAATATACTTCCAGTGACAATAAGAGCTTTTGTTGGGAACGGAACGTGCCTAAATGTACAGTCTGAGTCATGTGTATTATTTGTTATAAAGAAAGAAGTATAAGTATTTAGTAGTAAGGGTAACATAAAAGGTACTGGTATACCACGAAGATGAACACTCGAAGAGAACAAGCGAAGAATAACATTACAAAAATTAATAACATTTTTGCAGCAAATAAATATCATTTCAGGTTAGAAGAGAAAGAATTATTATAAGGTAGATAGCGGCTGTTTTAACCCTTCCGCATTACCCTTCCCTCCCCCCTTCCCCCTAATATTTGGCGACAAAATCTATGTTCTCACGGTCAAAGAGATGAAATCAGCAAATTCTTTGTTTACTTGGCTGCCCATCCTGTCCAAGGACGACAACAAGCAGGAAGGTGAACCTTTCCTGTTCTTGCCATATTTTGAGCAGCTAAAACATCCGAAGATATTTGGACCCCAATGTAGCACGAGAAACACCACAGTGGTTAAAAATAAAGAAAACTTACATCATTAGAAAAGCCAAATATTTTCAGCATTCGTTGATTCTGATGTCAGGTGTGTTGTGTTGGCGAAATTAAAACCTATCCACGAACTATAACTTGAACCATAGGCACTGTAGTCTAGGGTTTCAGGTATTCTGAGGCCCCGCTAAAATCTTACAAATAAGGGATGGGTGGGGTTTGTGACTGCACCTGGTGAGTACTAGGAGATGGACTCAACACTGTAATTCTTTAGCGGGAAAAAGGGAATTGGAGTGCTGAATCATTAACCTAGACAATTTTGTAAGGGGCAAGTAACTCTTTCAACCATGTACAAATGATCTTTTTTTTAAAAGTATTTTTCAATACATGATGTCCCTCGTGTGGGTTCCGGGGCCCCATTGTGGGGGAAAACAAGAATAGACCCACTGCCTCCCCAAAAGCATGTCGTAAGTGTCGACTAATTGGGGAGCTTCCTTTGAAGTCCGAGTGCATCTGCCAGAGGGGCAAGGAACCAACAGTCTGTATTCAGGAGAATGAGATCTGTAAAACTGATGTACACGCAACACTCAGGTTCTGGATAGGGACTGCAGTTCAGTAGTGGACTAGCAACCAGAACCTTCCGCCAGAGTTTACAGCTGGTAAATGCGAAGAAGAAGAATACATTACGTTATTTCAAATACAGTGGGTCATCTTCTGTGGCTTAAGCTTTGGGAACGTGTATCGTAACGCCGGGGTGCTGGTTTCTATCCGAGCTGCGGACGATTTGTCTTGCGTTGTTTTCAACGGTGGTACCGAGCGTTGACAGTAAAGGAAGCAATGACAAACTACTGAACGTACAATTTGTCTAGAAAAACCATCGCAGAAAAATAATTTTGGGTTTGCTTCTGCAACGTCCTTAAAGGATTTGCAACTCACTTAAGTATATAGGGGAACTCCAGTATTCTTCATAAATCCGTTCCTGGGGGAAGGACAAATATTAAAAAGGATAAAAATCAAGCGAATTTCTTTCCTATATTTAAAAAAAAAAAAAAAGTGGTTTCACTGTTTGCATGCCCAGTATTTTCCCAAGTTCATTCTTTAACAACAAGAAAGTTTTCACTCGAAAATCCATCTTAGAAATAACTGCACACACATTTTATTTACCTGTTAATCAATTTACTTATTAATGCGTTATAAATATAATAGACATGAACTCGTCTTGGTGACGTAAGTATACTGTAGGCCTATTTAAATACATAAATACAACTTTAAAAAGGATTTTACTTCTTGGATAAAAAACAAAAAACAGTGGCTATTGTTTGAAAGGATAGTAACCTTCCAATATGACATCAGGTAATGTCACTTCTGGTGAGTGATAATGTCCCGAAGATTTATCAGCATTTCAAGAGGATTCATCAGCATTTATCCCCCAACCCCCAATCGTTAGTGTCAGCAGTTTGTACCGGAACAGCATCTTCTTTTTTTTTTCTTCGTCTGATGATTCTCTGGCCACGTCGGAGGAAGGACGAATGTTGCATTTTCGGGTGAATATCAAACAAACATTTCTACTAAAAAACAAAACACACACACACACAAACAGCGCGAATAGGCGGGGACGAAATTAGAGTTCCGCCCTATATTATTATTATTATTACTATTGTTTTTATTATTATTTTAGCACTTGATAATAATATTAATAATATTTTGTATTATTATTTTATACTTTAAAAAGGTTTAGGCCCACTAAGCTCAGCCCCGAACAAAATGTTAGAGACTGACCCCCCCCCCCCCTTGCCTTGCTCCCCCAGCCCCACCACAACAAAATTTCTTGGTGGTGTCGGCTCTCAAACAACGGGAGCATAATTGCATTATTCCTTAGTGCACGTTTCTGATGTGGAGCACTTTCTACTTGCTCCCATGTGCCCAAGAATTAAAAAAAAAAAAACAACCATAGAGCCATGTTGACCACTTACCAGAGTGAAGAGCCAGACTCGGAGCATACAGTACTATGGCCATGTACAGAATCTGAAAGTGAAATAAAGAGAAACATTTTTTGTGTGTGTGATTCATATATGTGAAAACCACGCTAATAATTCTTGTTTGTGTTCAAAATATGTTAAAACTACACCATATAACTCTTATTTTTCATTGACAAATCTGACAACCACAATATTCGCTTTGCCTACGTCTGATATCATCTTCATCAAGTAACTTGCCGACTGGCGTGGGCAATCATGCCTCTCCATAATTTGCATCTACAACTGCGTGTATCAATCAGTTCGTGTGTTGACACCCCTCCGCGCCATGACAAATGGCTCTCAAGATTCTTGTCGCACTGTCTTCCTCTGTCTCTTTCCACAGATCTGTTCAGTGGTCACAACATGTTCCAGTTTCCTTCTTCTCATAAAATGACCGAAAAAAATATGACTGTCTCTTTCTTATGTATGTTGTCTTCAGATATGATATACAGCATGCAAAAATCATGCTAATGTATACTCCATTTTTAAAAATTCATATCAATGGTCTAACTGAAATATTCTTCTTCTTTTCTTCCAATCGGGTCCCAAAAACATACGGCGAGGTTTGCGTTACAAAACCGTGTCTCTCTTGGAAATTTTAACATATGGACATCGGGTCTGCAGACAATCTTTCTAGCAACATTGCTATTGCAGGCTCTATCGTTATTACAAGTTATGCAGTAGCACAGTCAAATATTTAGCGTGAGCTCCTTGATGACGATGGCTTATTTCAAATATCAATCCAGAGACTTAATTTGACATCCCATCAAATAAACAGCCATAGGAGCCTGCCCTAATGATACTGTTATGTCTGCGGCTGTCGTGATTTAGAATAACAGTAAGCCAGTGCTCCGTGTCAGAGTCTGTGTCATATCAGGGAAGGCATAATTTGTTGCGTTGCTAGAAGAACAAGATACTGTCTTGGGATCTAGGCGCCAGAACCTTCAGGCTCCCCTACAACAATTTTTTTTTGTTTTGGAAAAGGGGTGGGGGAGGGAGGGACTCACACAGAACTAGACCTGCGTGTGCGTGTGCTCAGTGATTCTATGAGCATGATCCGGCGGGTTGAGGCAGGCTTCATACGAAGTCAGTGCACTGAGTATTTACAAAACTCTCCTAGTGTGCAGTTTAACAAAAATTAAAGGAAGAGGCCATAGCAATGCAAAGATTAAACAGCCAAACAATTCTATGGTTTGTTTAGCACCAGCAAGGAGATAAAAATTAGAATTTTGAGAGCATGCATCTTCCCTGTGGCTACATACGGATGTGAGTCGTGGACAATCTCTCAGTCCTTAAGAAAGACAATAGGGGCTTTTGAGCTGAAAAAGAGGAGAAATACTGACATCTTGAAAGATCTGAACATCAAAGAAGATTGGCTAAAAAACAGCATCCTGTCTCGAAAGCTTACATATTTTGGTCATCAAATGCCACAAAGGATTGGAAAAATATAGCAGAAAGCATGGTACCAGGAAGGAGGGGCAGCGGCCGACCACCACGAAGATGGGCACAGGATATAAATGACTCCTTGAGTATGAATGTGCATGAGGCGGGAGAGCTGACGAGAGGCCGAGTTTCTTTCAGACAGACCGCGATGAGAGCGACGACCTGCTACATTGATGATGTGTGCAGTTACTTTCGTATTTGTCCCAGCTACGCAGGTGTTGATGGCAATTAAACAGCTGTTATATTAGCAGTTTCTGAAATTAGTTTCAGATGGCGAGCCTATGGATCACACGGACATTTTCAGTGCCCTAAGAGAAATGGGACGTTTCGATGATTTTCAAAGCAACGTGTCCACATCACTGTTAAAAATGATATAACATAACAATTGACCTATTAGGGTTGTGGAGATGCATCGATGGAGGCACTAGCAAACAAAACTCGCCATCTTTCTCTGTCCTTTGTTTGATGAATAAGTGTAGAATAACTTAGTCCTGTCCATATCTTTATGTGGTATTTGCAGGTTCTTCGTTGCCCTCTTCTTCTTCTACTACCCTTCTATGTTCCTTGAAGTACAGTCTTTGCAATCTATTCATGTCTCACCACGTGCCAGAGCCAAGCTAGCTAAGAATAAAATAATTTGGAAGTGAAGTTCAGCGTACCCAAGCATAAGATGCACACCGGACGTACAAGAAGTCTTGTCAACCAACAAAGGACTTCCACGCGACGCCGATGAATATGCTAAATGGGGAATCTGAGCACCTATGGACGTGTCAGGAGTGCTGTGAAGATAATCCAACTTCGAAACACAACGCACATATAGCTACAGTTAGAAAGCACAATGAATATACGCGTATCACCTGAAGCACAAAACACACATAGACGTCACTTATGAAAAATGCACACACCGACCACTAAAAGCACAACACACACACAACACACAACTTGAAGTACAACGCACACATACCTACCATTTGAAGCACAAACGTCATTGACGCAGAAGTCCGCACACCTCGACTGAAACGTCTCTCTAGATACTGTACAAATAAAAAAAAAATTACAAAAAAAAAAAAAAAAAGTATGAAGGACATGAATCATTAAGTAAAAGTTGCTGAAGGATCACCCATTAGGTAATCTATGAATGTTAAAAAACTTCAGACAAAAATTTTGCTCTTTTTCCACCTAGTACCAGTTCAATTCAATATATCTGGAACATTTGCTTCTTTAAGCTAAAACACATGTGTCTAATTACTTCATATGATAACCCTTTTCCCAACATAGTAAGTCTTTGAAATAAAGGAGATACAGAGAAAGTTAATATAAAAGCTGGACCAGACACAAAGAGATATGTAAAGCCACGGGCTCCTGTAGTATTATAAACTTTTTAAATTATACTATTATTTAAGTTCATAAAAACGGGAATTTCCGTTGACTTGAAAGGTCCGTACTTACAGGCTGCCGTGTAAAAAGCGCATGTAAAAAGAGTTACCAGTAAACTTATGTTGGGTTACTTTGTACTGCTTGAGTTAACCAAAGATATCACAACAGTTGTGCAGCTTCCATCATTATCTCCATCACGTCCTCTGCAAGGTTCGATCCTCGGTGTTCTGTGTCATTTCTAACGATGATATTTCTATGTGGGGCCTTTTCAGACAACCCAGCCTCACTTCTGGCAGTCTGCATCTGTCTCTTCTACCGCCGATCTTTCGGGAACTCTTCTTCTTCTTCGTTCGCCCTTAAACTGGCTACTAACACGTTATGTGGTGAATTAAAGCTAGGCTGCAATATCTGCTACTTTCGATCCACCAAATCAAATGTTAACAAACCTTCCACTAACCACCTTTTACTAAATTCCGCACCCGGAGCAGTGGGTCTATTCTTCCCGCTCCCTTTCAGAATAGGACTTAGAAACCCACACTATTTAACGAATGCCTTAATTCTAAGCATACATCCAAAGAGCATTACCTTGTTCTCACAACTGTGTAAAATGTTACAGGTTTAATTAATTCCTCTCCAGTCATAGTTACCAATCACTCTGACTGTTCATATTATTCGTAACCATCGTCGCAAAAACCACATCTCTCTGCTTCCTCTCAGTCTTCTTAACTTTTCTGATCCCAAACTACCTACTATGCGTCATTGCGAATAGTTCAAATATTACATACTATGTACACGTTGAGCTGAAAATCATTATATATGTATATATATGTATATGAGATTTCATAGAAGAGATGTCAGTGTAATAAGAAGAGATAACATTACAAATGAAGAAATTAGAAATAGGCTGGGACAGAACTAGTCTAACGGTTTATTAAAGAGCATAAGATGAGATAGTTTTGCCATCTGACCAGAAGGCACTGGCAAGAACAGTCACAGAAAGTCACGCTGAAGAAATACAATGAACACACAGCAAAGGGCGACAGCGCAAAACATGGAACTACGCCATCAAAAACACACCTAAAGAAATGTTTATCAACTTATGCAATGTATTAGAAAGAGCAAACAGAAAATCTGAACCCCCCCCCCCCCCCCCCCCCGCTCAACACTTCCAAGAGGTAACTGAGGAAGAGAGCAAGAAGATGTGTATGTTTATTATTAGTCACGGCATATAACGAGCCCTGATAACCCATTTGTTCATGAATACGCCATACACTATATGCCTTTGTCAAGTCCTAAGATGGTAGTCTGTTGGTTTCGTTTCGTTGCTTTGCTCATCAACAACAACAACAACAAATCGTCCCGTTCAGCCAGCATCCCCGAAGGGGGAGCTTTAGGTTATAATCGTGACTAGGTTTTGTGCGCAATATAAAACGTCTCCTGTAGTGATGATGCAATCAAAGGAGACTAACAAATACTGTTCCGACCGTTGACAAAGTCATCTACCGGCGAGCCAATTAGCAACCGAGTCGCCAATGAGTCTGTTATTCTTTAAATCACTTGTTCATATAACCCCACTGTTATATAATGTCATACATTCGAGTGTTGTAAATCAAATTTTATTATATGAGTTAAATCAACAGTTTTCACATAATGAACGTTTTAAATATCGTGACATTTACAGTGAAGATACTTGCTGTTGTATGCCAAGGACCAGTAATTCAGTCCTTGGATGGTAAATAGATCAGTCTGGAGCAAAAATAAAATATCGCTATATATCAGGTTTCATCATCTCTGTGAAAAGTAGACCAATGTCCCATTATTATATTTCCCGTATTTTTCTTTTTCGACAATGGTGCGCAGAAATATAAAACTAGCATCGGTTATTATGTAAGTATTATTGCTGAAATGAAACAGTCACGTGAGGACATATTACTACAGTTATTGTTTTCATAGTTAGCATGTTTAACTAATGAAATATGATCTGCCAGATTTAGGTCACAAATTAGCATACAGGCTTCTTGTTCCAATGTACGTAGCTGGTGTCCCGAAAGTCACGTACGTTGTGTAGACTGTCAGGGTCAGAAGACGATTTTGAAAGGTCAAAAGTATATCAAGGTAAGGCGTTCGTGGAAAGGTTGAAATACTTTGTGAAACAAAAGCTTGAATAACAAAACTGCAGGTTCTTTCCACAGTCAAATCAGGTAACCAACAAACTAGGAGAAAGACCTGAAAGGCAGACACCGTGTTATAGTATAAAATGAAGCTAAATTCGACAGGATCTACTTCATTGCACCAAATGTCATCCAACATTGCCGATTCTCTCTCAGCAGAACGGCTAACCACCTGCCGAGAGCGTAGAACAAAGTAAGAACACCTTAGTTCCCGCGATAATCCCCAAGGGTCTGCGTTAAAAAAAAAAAAAATTTACACCAATGAACTGAACAACGTTTCCGTGCAACGAACCTACGACCTTCAGAGCGCCAGGAATCCCTGACTTTAGCAGAGTATGTCTGAAGACAGGTTAGTCCAACATGATTACAACAGCTAATAACCATCTGCTAAGAAAGGGCATCTTTCACTAAAGTCAGTGGCCAAGTCAGTATAGGAATTTCAGACAATCAATCTAGAATTGACCCAGTCTAATTGAAAAAAAAAATTGTGCCACATATTTCCCCAGGAAGAAAAAGTGGCGAGAAAGGAAACGTAATATCCTCATTTCAGTGTGCCCCCCGCCCCCCCCCCCAGCAAGCTCTTAACTCCAATTTACTTTAAGTAACGGGGCTACAGTGTGAAGGAACAAATAAATAGATCCACTAACAACCAATTCGTAAAAACAAAATCATGAGTGTTTCCTTCGAAGTCGGAGTGTATCGGCCTCAAAGGCGAAGACCAAAGAATTTGCATACTGCATACAAGTAACCAGATCTGTCAACAAGGATGTGGACACAAAATCAAGCTCTGGATAAAGACCAAACTTCAGAAATGGATGAACCAGCAGAAATTTAGACAATTAACTGCAGATGAAACAAAGGGTGGTGATCATCATTTGTGGTGGACGAACAAATGACCTGTTTGCACGCTATTAAAGGACTCTTACAACATTTAGCTTGCTAGGCATCAAACAATATCAAGTAGTTCAGAACCACCGAGCATGGTTCTTAGCCTGTTTGGTCACACACACACACTTAATATTACTGTGTTTTTCGACCTTATTAGGACGAAATGTTTAGTTATTTGAAGCCCCAACCTGGCTTTTGCCAGGGGCTGCAATATAGGCAGGCCATAAATGTGGCCAATTGTCTGAACGCGGTTTCTGTGACCTTTCCACGGCGACCCTCATCGACGTGGTGGCACTTTGTGTCATCGGATGTTTGTCGCTTGTGTGATGTCCTGGTGGGGTAGAAAGTCAGTCGGTCAGTCACACACACACAAATCAATTACCCTCTTAAAATACTAACCTTAAGAGCGAACCGTAAACTTTATAAAGCTGAAACAGAAAATCTCATATACTCACTTCATAAGCGCTGGTGACTCCTAGATTATAAAAAACTGGAATGTAGATATGAGACGCTCCTGCAATCACAAAGAAATATCCTAACCCAATCCACCAATACATGGTCGTAAAGTTATACATCTCAGCTGGCGTCCCTAACAACGTGATGGCGGACATAAAACTGGCCAATAGAGATAGAGCCACAGGAAATGGAGACATATTTCTCCCCGCCAGCAAAAAATCATCGATGCCCTTTTTTCGACGATCTTTCCAAGCAAACCAAGCTCCGATGCCGGCAGATATTGCTAGAACTGCGGCGAATATTCCGTAATCAACAGCAGAAAACCGTTTAACCGCTCCGGTATTAAAACTGTAGTCACCATAGAAACGCTGAGCAGTGTTACTCTGGGATTCCATTTTGAAAAACGTTGTCTTTCTGGAGATGATTTCAGATTTTTTAGTTTTTTCGTTCTGTGTTAAAATATTTACAAATTCAAACACACCAGAAACGCTCAACCTCTCGCTTTAGAGACGTATAAGCAACCTTGCTGTTCTTTCCAAAATGTGTGAGGCCTATAATATCTCAGCCTTGACGAGACAACTCTAGAGCAGAACTCTAATCTGAGGAGAAAGAATGAAATAAAAGTGGTTATTTTTTTTCCCCCAGTATAACTTTCAGGCTTACATACACTACACAACCCGTACAATTAATTCATCTTTGCCACAGCTAGTTTATTATTCAACTTTTTAGAAAAAACAAAACAAAAAAGTAGGGGGGGGGGGGGTGTGAATAAGAAGGGAAGAAAGAAAGCAGGGGTGGCGCAAAAACAAACATCATAAGAAAAGAAACTGGGAAGGGTGATGCGGGGGGAGGGGAAGGGGGGGGGGGGGGGGGAGTTCGTGGTGTCAGTCCCCTTATAATCTTCTTAGAGACTGGGGGAAACTCAAGGGGCTTAAGCCTTGCTTAAGTGAGCAACAATCATAGTAACAATGTAATACATATTTTTTTGCTGAATTACAAAAAGATAGATAGTATGTTTGAAATAATATGGCATTTATAAACACATACTTAATAAGAGATCGCCTATTTATACACACACACACACACACACACACACACACACACACACACACACACACACATACACACACACACACACATATGGGGAGGGGAGCCTACACTTATCCTCCTTGGAAATATTCCAGGAAGCAGAACTACAGAGAGGCTAAATGTACCTGAAAGAAAGAAAGAAAGAAAGGTTAAAGAGAGATTCTATGACAGGTGAAGTGCTTAGAAGTGCTCAGCTTTCCTCGATACTAAACCATATTAGAAACCGAAGTGGTGCTTGTCAAATCATATGTTCCGATGCCTAATGCAGTGAATACGGGGGCGGGATAGGGGGTGGGGTTGCGGGGGGTCTGACCTCACGGGTTTACCGAGCCTGAATAGATTTAAACAAGCAAAATAAAGTAAAGACTTTTTTCCGCGTCTCCAGGTGCATTGGGCACATAGGGCTAGACCTATATTTGATAGACCAGTCGGCGCACGTTGGGTGATATGGTTAACATGACGTAAGGAAATTGCAGAGAACGTAATTATGACCTAAGAGATATTGACTGTATCAACTCATCCAGGTCGTTGGTCTATTCACCCCCCCCCCCCACCCAAATGCCCCACCCTATTTTTTTTTCTCCAACAAGCGGGCCCGGCATCCACAGGAGGAAGCGGGGTGGGGTGAAGCTTGTCAGTTGGGGGGGTTAGATTCAAAATATGGGTCTAGCGCTTAAAAGCATACAATGGATCTACAGGGATCTCTTCAAAATTGCAATTGCGAACTGAACGAAATGTCTGTCAAACGAACCGAGCACCTTCCAAGCGAGGAAGGAGAGGGCTTGACCGCTGCGCCACGAATGTAAAAATCTAACTTTTATGCTTGTGGCAAGAGTTTGAGAAAAGACGCCACGCTGGCTATCTCATGTCATAGCTCTAAACTACAACGAACAAATCATTACTAAGTCTATTAGGAACTTGTCTGATTTGGTCCAGGCCAGTGTTTCCCAAACTGTGCAACGCGGCGCCCCGGAGAGCTGTGACCTCTTCAGAGCGCCGCAACATATTCAAAGAAACATGAGTGTTTTTTTTTTTTAAAATCTTTCACATACGATAGCCATACTTTTAATTAGGTTAGGGCGTCGTGGAAAAATTGAAATTAAAGAAAGGCACCGCGACTAACAAAAGTTGGGGACACACTGGTCTAGGCTCTATTCTTTGCTGGTGGATGAAATGCATATTACGAAGAGAAAAAGGCCATGGTAGAATGAGGAAAGCGATTCTCAACACATAATTAATTCTTTTATTATCTTTCAAGACAACACAATTACTGGCTATGAGATCCTGTTGCCAAGAATTCACCTCTAATTCCGGCTCAGTCATGTCCCCTTGACACATTTTTTGTATCGTAGTTGAGGCCGACCTCAACACCTTCTACTCATGTTTAAGTCACCACGGAGCATGTCTGGGGAGGGGGGATATAAATACACATAGACAGACAGACAGACAGACAGACAGACAGACAGACAGACAGACAGACAGACAGACAGACAGACAGACAGACAGACAGACAGACAGACAGACAGACAGACAGACAGACAGACAGACAGACAGACAGACAGACAGACAGACAGACAGACAGACAGACAGACAGACAGACAGACAGACAGACAGACAGACAGACAGACAGACAGACAGACAGACAGACAGACAGACAGACAGACAGACAGACAGACAGACAGACAGACAGACAGACAGACAGACAGACAGACAGACAGACAGACAGACAGACAGACAGACAGACAGACAGACAGACAGACAGACAGACAGACAGACAGACAGACAGACAGACAGACAGACAGACAGACAGACAGACAGACAGACAGACAGACAGACAGACAGACAGACAGACAGACAGACAGACAGACAGACAGACAGACAGACAGACAGACAGACAGACAGACAGACAGACAGACAGACAGACAGACAGACAGACAGACAGACAGACAGACAGACAGACAGACAGACAGACAGACAGACAGACAGACAGACAGACAGACAGACAGACAGACAGACAGACAGACAGACAGACAGACAGACAGACAGACAGACAGACAGACAGACAGACAGACAGACAGACAGACAGACAGACAGACAGACAGACAGACAGACAGACAGACAGACAGACAGATAGACAGATAGATAGATAGATAGATAGATAGATAGATAGATAGATAGATAGATAGATAGATAGATAGATAGATAGATAGATAGATAGATAGATAGATAGATAGATAGATAGATAGATAGATAGATAGATAGATAGATAGATAGATAGATAGATAGATAGATAGATAGATAGATAGATAGATAGATAGATAGATAGATAGATAGATAGATAGATAGATAGATAGATAGATAGATAGATAGATAGATAGATAGATAGATAGATAGATAGATAGATAGATAGATAGATAGATAGATAGATAGATAGATAGATAGATAGATAGATAGATAGATAGATAGATAGATAGATAGATAGAGATAGATAGATAGATAGATAGATAGATAGATAGATAGATAGATAGATAGATAGATAGATAGATAGATAGATAGATAGATAGATAGATAGATAGATAGATTAAATTGATAGATCGATAGATTAAATTGATAGACAGAAAGATATATAAATAGACAGAAAGATAAAACAAACTTCATTTTTAGGGGTTACAAATTGGGCACGCAGTCCCGTCCTTACATTCGTCCCTTTCAAGCACTCATCTTTCAGAACACAACTGCATGTTATCTATAATGCATGCTATATTATTTAAAATATATATATATAATGAAATAATTCATATATACATCATGTGTTATATACAATCTGAATATACACGTATATATACACTTTTATTTGCCCATACGTACACAGACATAAGCACACCCATACATACCCATATACACTTATACATACACATGCACTCATGCTCATACAGACATGTAATCGAACTCTTACTTACACACGCATAATTACCTTTTCACACACATGCACTCTCATGCATGCACACATTGATGAACATTCACATACCCACACACTGATATATCCACATACATACATTCACGCAAGTATACACATTTATGCATACACACCCAAACACATCCACACCTGAATATGTATACAAATTCACACTGACATTCATACAAAACCCAATACATACATGCACTCATACATATACAAACACTATTTACACAAGCGATTTTCATATACACACACAGATACACACACAAACACCCATACATTTCGATATAATCTCAAAGATACACAAAAACCTTATCATACACCATCTCGCAAACATACAAAACACCCATATATACCCAAACACCCACATAGCCACAGACACCCTCACATACTCCTACAACCCAATACATTCATAAACACCCTACATACACAAGATATTATTCATACATCCATAAAAACATATACATACACTAACACCCATACATACAACAACACCCATACACATACAAACACCCATAAATACACTAACACCAATACATACCCTAACACCAATACATATACTTACACCCATAAATACACAAACACCCTAGATACAGAAAACATTATTCATACACCCATAAAAACATATCCATACCCTAATACTCTAACCTACACTAACACCCAAACATACACTAACACCCAAGCATACACTAACACCCATACATACACTAACACCCATACATACACTAACACACATACAAACACTAACACTCAAACAGACACTAACACCCAAACATACACTAACACCCAAACATACACTAACACCCAAACATACTCTAACATCTAAACATACACTGACACCCATACATACACTAACACACATACATACACTATCACCCATACATACACTAACACCCATACATACACTAACACCCAAACATACACTAACACCCAAGCATACACTAACACCCATACATACACTAACACCCATACATACACTAACACACATACAAACACTAACACTCAAACAGACACTAACACCCAAACATACACTAACACCCAAACATACACTAACACCCAAACATACTCTAACATCTAAACATACACTAACACCCATACATACACTAACACCAAAACATACACTAACACCCATACCACCCATACATACACCAACAACCATATTTATACTAAAACCCACACATACACTAACACCCATACATACCCTTACACCCATACATACAAAAACACCCATACATATACTAACACCCATATATACACTAACACCCATACATACGTTTACACCCATACATACAAAAACACCCATACATATACTAACACCCATATATACACTAACACCCATACATACCC